ACTATGTGCTTATAAACAAAAATGTGTCACTAGCATTATTCGTAATATTAAAAAATTTTGCTTTTAATAAGAAAAAGAGTCATAACTTACTATAATATATTCAAACACACATATCACTCACAGATTATGTTAAAATTCGAAAAAATTTATGTAAATATGTATAATTTTTTAATTTTTTTTTTGCTCTTTTTTCCATTATAATCAAATTTTTGATAATTTACGAATTTATTTTTTGATATTGATGGGATTTTAAACAGTAGATTATATTCATATAAAATGGATTTTGCTTTTGTATTTCAAATGTGTGTTTTTATTTTTTTAATTTAACAAATATTTAAATTTTATTTATTATATTACACCCAGATTACAAATTTGTTGTTAATTTATTTATTAAAATTTTGAAAAACCGGATTATTGTTGGCTTATATATATCAACATACCAATTGCGATCGTAAGAATTATGAACAAATAAACATAAGTAAGTTTAAATGTGCGAAACCGCTTTTGAAATGTATGCGGTCCAACTTAAATTAAAGTTATTTCAAATCACTTCACTTACAAGTATGTGATTGATCAGCACCAGTCGCACTAATATAATTATTTTGAACTAGAAAAAAAAACTAAGTTAATAGTTCAAATATTTTTCATTCCTAGACTTGCTCGACGAAGAATAACGGAGCTTCTACTATATTCAAAAAAAGAATCCTTCAATAATTATGTATTTGTTATTCTATTGGTTTTTCTCGTTAGGCTCTCATTTTTCATGTGGACAAGCAGTAACTGACGATGGACTACTTGTGCCATTAAAACAGATCAAATCAAATCGATCGAATCGAAAATTTTGCATACAAAAATTTGCCGAAATTTGGATTTTGATTTAAAAGCCGCCCGAATGATTCAAAGTATAATTTGCAGAATCAACTGTTATTTATTGTTTTCGGCCCAAAATGTATTCAAAGAACAACTTTAAAGAGCCTACCAAAAAAAACTATATGGCATATTATGTAAATTATTATTATAGGCATATTTATGTAAATTATCTGCAAATATATAAAAAAAACTTGTATATTATACGCAAATACAACGTGTTAACTTTACTAAATATAGTAGGTAAAAAAATATCATAATTAATAGGCGCCGGTTAGAGTTTTGAAATATTTAATTCAAAAATTAATTTTAAATACATATAGATGAAAATCGATTATATTTGATTTATTAGAAGACCGATGACTTTTAGCAATAAATAAATTTTCAGTTTAAATATAAAAAAAAACAATAAATTTTAAAAATGCTAATTTATTTACAAAATGTAAAATTATCATTAATCGTGATAAAAAGAAATAAAATTATTCTGAACGTGTTGAAAATTAAATTGTTGTGTTTTATGAAACTTGCAGAACATTGTTGCAGATTGCAGAATCAATCGAGAATCGATTACAAAAATGAAAACCGTTATTTTCCTCTTCAATATAATAACGTAATTTATAGCAAGAAAAAAAAACTGGTTATTCAACTTTACGTTGAAAAAAATTTTGTAAATAATTTTTAATTAAATGATCTTTAAATTTTTAAAAAATTTTTTTTTGTTTATTAATTTAAATACGAGTATGTACATTGTTAACACAAAACTATAAACATTTAATACAAAAATTTGCATTTCAACATGAAATTGGAGATTTTTAATTTAACAGTAAATTATTTGTCTTTAATTATGTGTTTGGTAGTACCTAGATACATATGTATGTATTTATATAATTTAATGAATTTTGCAAAAATATCCGCTTATCTACATGTCTATATGAATTTGTAATAATATGACAACAAATTAAATACACTAAGGGAACAGGAACTTAATATTACTTTGCAAAGTGTAAGTAAATTTGTATTTTTTAAAAAAATAAGACAATTATTCATACTCAGCTTAATATGACGTCTTCGGTGAAAATGACGTCTATTTATGACTAACGCCTTTTCTATTTATTTGAAATTAAAATTTTTAGAAAATTAGTCGCAAATTACACAACAATTGCTCGTTGATAATTATGCACTTGAAAAAAGAACTGATTTTAGTTGAAATTAAAGTAATATTTTTATGATTCAAAACCTAAATAAAACTTAAAAATCTATATAAAGATAAAACACATTTATTGGAGGTCATTACAGCAGTTTTAGACGTTATAGAAATTATAGTATATTATAAAATAAAATTAAGCAAGTGGTGTATTGTTAAATTAAGTACACCATGTAGAATAAGAAAACCGCAAAAATTATTACAATATTTTCATAACAAAAGTTAAGTCAAACCAATTGCATGTAAAGTAGCACTTTTCTTTTCAACAACTTTCATTCATATACCAAAATATTTTAAACGATTGCATATATTTAGGATGACACCAGAAAAAAGAGGTGTAAATGGATTCAGGGGTTAATTCCGTGAGTTAAGATAAATAATTATATTTTTGAATGCGTGGTATTTAACGTTTTTCACAGCCCTGCAACTTATTGTTTACAAGAAAAACGATATCAAAAATTTGGAAAAAAACGGGTTTCAGATAACGGTAATTTCAACTACAATTTTGCCATTTCCACGCTACAAAAAAGCTTATAAATATTTCATATTTCCCATTTCGACAAAAATTAATTCATTTATTTCAATATTACCAATTTTATAGTAACCTCACATTGAAATTGGAGTTCGGCTCATAATATTTCTTATTGATGAATAGCTGTGAATTGTGTTGAAATATGCAATTTTGAAGTCGACGATATTTTTATTTTGAAAATGTCAGTATACTCAGTGTTGTACTTCATATTCGTCTAAAGGAAAGCACTTCAGTCTAAAAACACTGAATAAATATTTCAAAAGTTTTAACTCAATTTTAATGAAATAAACTGACAAATATATTTTCATGTGGTTTTGTTTTACAATTTTTCCATATTAAAAATCATTGAGTCTGCACAAGTAAATTTTAAAATCTTAGGTACATAATAGGTATGTAGTGACAGAATGACACTGAAACCCTAAAATCATTAGTTAAACTTTAAATAGTACTGCACATTTTCTTGAACATTAATTTATTTATAACAAGTATGTATCATTATTCATTTAAAATCATGTGATAATTAAATTGCTATTGTATTTTATTCTTGTTTTTCATATGAAATAGTTATTAATAAATTAATTATAATAATAACTACTGATTATTTTTTAACATAGATGAAAAAATAAATCATGTATGTACCTTATTATTATACCCAAATTACAATTTAATTAACATAAATAGTAATTTTTCATGTACATGACATCTAGATAATCAAATATATGTATAAGTATACTAAATTAAAGTTTGCATGTACAGATACTCGTATACGAGCTTTTAAGAAATGTAAAATTCAATGACAATATTGTATCTATTTAAGAATTTTATAGGAACTCCCTGGTTGTACAAGAGAATAGAATAATCTATTGAACTTTGGACTCAAATTACTTTATTATGATGGGTTGTTCAATGCAAAAAATTTATGTACATAGTGTTCGGTCTTTTATTTATTAATTATTAAGACAGATTTTTATTTTTTTTTTGGTGTTACTAAATTAATGTAATTTTTAAATAATTTAAATTTTTTAATGAAATTTGAACTAAAGATGAACTTCTTTAAATATCAAAATTTTTTAGTGAAATTATTGGCTAAATTAAATTTTCGAATCCTTTATTATGTACGTTTTGAAACAAATTAATTTCAATTCAGTCATAAGCAGTAACAAAGAGTTCTTGCCAATTTTTTGCCATAAAATGATAAAATTACTACAAAAAATTAAAAACAAAATTTATTTACGAGAATTGTCAAAAAAATGTTATGTTTTAACACTTTACAGAACAGAACGACAAAGCTTTTGAAGTCATCATCTTGCCGTTGAGTTTTTTCAAACTAAAATTTTAGAATCCAATATTTTATTACTATTATGTTGCTGTTAAAATTATGCTTTAATTGACAGAAATTTTTATTGATTACGAAATAATAAGACTTTACTAATGATGTGACATCACTGAATTTAAGGTATATACATATATAAACAAAAAATGTCATATTGTATATTTATAGATACATATCGAAAATATTTTCTGACATAAAAATAAATCGAATTAAAGGTTGTAGATCTGATCTTAAAATAGCTCTTATGTACCACAAAATATAAGCATCAATACACGCCTGGTGTGTTATATATAGTTACTTACTTATAGTTCTGAAATTTATCTATAAATTAATTATATACATATATATATTTATTCATGTTTAATAATCAATTATTATTATAGCAATTATTAAAATTTAATAGTTATATTTAAAGAAAAATAAGTTTGATATAATAATTACCAATATTTTCAATTCATATATAACAGTAGTATACGAATATAATAGTTGAATACTACTTGAAATATTTTATGGAATTTATTAAAATGTAATTTTAAAAATCATGCTCATTTTATCTCATTCATTTGTTTTAATATTTTTCATACTTTACAGACAAATAACATAATCTCTACATTAAAGAATATTTTATAATATGTCATTGTCAAAATCTATTTTAAGAAATTTTACGATATTCTGATAAGGGAAGTAGGTGGTTTGAAGTTTTAAAATTAGAAAAGTTAAGAATTACGAATAAAAATCAAAAGTGATAAATTTGAGCTTATTATAAACTCAATGATGATATTATAATATTGAGTTATGATAAACATTTTGAGTTATATTGAAAATAATTTTTTTGTATACGGATTTTGAAGAAATTAAGCACTTCAGTTAGCTCAAGAGTAATACAGCAAACTCAAACATAACAGAATCTCCTGCAATTTAAGCAAAACAAAATCACTGAATGTAGTATGTTACTGTAAATGTAAAATTGAAATGTTTGCAAACTTGACATAATTTTCTTAATTATTATTTTTTTTTTTTAATTTTTATTTTAATTTTAATTTTATTTTGTTTTTTATTTACAGATTTTCATCACGAAATTTAATATAATAATAGTGTTATTCCCATTTTCATTTTAATTTTGTAATTTTTATCGCTTTTTTTTTTTTGTTTTCATCATTAATATTTAAAACCAAAATTGGAAAATGAATGAAAATTGGATATATTCGATATTATTATTACTGAGTAGTATAACAGTTATACTTAATATAGCACAATGTCAGGTAAGTTAAAAATAACATTTATAAAAGTAAAAGTTAAAAATTTTATTTCCCTAATTTTTTCTCTTATTTTATTATTTTTATTATCAAAAATGACAGATTATAACTGTAAAATAAATAAATAAAAACAAAAGAATTATACGCCATCTATATTCATATTATTTTTTTTTCGAATATTAAAATTAAAATTAAAAATTCATATTGCATAAAAACAAAAATAAATTCATTTTTATCTTTAACAAAGAGAATAATGAAAAGAAACCATTTAAATGGTAATAATTAGAAAATTATAAAATTTAAATAAAAATATTTGTTAATTATGTTATTTATTTGCAAAAAAACCAGCAAAAAAAAAAACAAAACAATTAACTTATTAAATAATACTTTGTCTTTATCATAGAAATTAATTAATTAACGGGGTAGTGTTATATATGTATAAAATTCGAAAATTTTTAATTATATGCCACCGACGTTGTATTTCAGTGTTATATAAAAATAGGCATTGGAAATTTTAAATTAAAATAAAAGTGTTGATTATAGTAAGCATTGTGATTTATGTTTCTATTTATCAAAATGCATTTTGGTTAACGAAAAAAAAAAAAATAGGTAAAGTTGATCGTAGCAACAGCGAGCTAGTTTATTCAGTGAGTACGAATTGAATGACTCTATTAGTGGCATATAATACATCTAGAGTATCTGTTTTTTTTCAAAAATATTTCGTGTTAAACTAGGCAACAGTGACTTGAACATTTTCTAACTCAAGAACATAGTGTGATAACAGTGTTTCTTTTACAACATGTAGCTGTTCTAAATTTCAATACCATACCTCAATAACTTATGAAATGTGGCCCAATTGCTTTTAAAGTTTTATGGTAGTTCCTCGAACCTCTGCACCGATTAAATTAAAAATAAATACGATTTTGACATTTGTTATTGTATTATAAGTTATTGAATTATATTATGACTTAATTAAATTAGCTTTCGAATTAATTCTGGAACAGAGAGTGAGGCACAGTTAAACTTATATGCGTCTTACAAATAAACCAAAAATATCAATGTGTACATACGTAACGTGCGATAGCCACGTTTTTCTGTAAAATATACCCTTAAAAATGTCTTTAAATGCTTAATAAAATTGTAACAGCGGCCTGAATCAAAAGCACTTACAATTTTCTTATTTTTTAGTAATTTTTTTGCTATAGATGTGTTTAGTCTTATCAAATAGGTGAATAACAATAGATGCAATAATTTTAGAAAAAAATTATATCACAAAGCTTCGAGCTTCGCAAATTTTCCAAATCTTTCTAATAAAATTTACCCATTCAATCGATTACAATACAAATTTTTAGTCAAAGATAATAGCACGCACCATGAAAATTATTAACTTTTACTCATCTTTTATATTCTTTACAAATAAAGCAATAAAAATTCAATAAAATTCGCCATTAACTCACAAAGAAAATTAAAAAACAAAAACAATTATAGTTTAGTCTCGATAATAATTACTTTGGAATTTTATTGTATTCAATTTCAATGAAATAATAATGAACAATCAAATTTATGGAATTTAAAAAAACAAAAATACCAAAAAAAAAATTCGGCCAAATTTAGCCACAAAAATCCAAATATAGCCATCCCATGCCTTTATGTCATTTTTGACAAAAACAAAAAAAACAACAAAAAAAAGTTACAAAACTTAACCATTATAACAAAAAACCTTTATTTTTTTAATTTATAACTTTTATTTATGAATGAAAATAAAAGTTTCAACAAAAATTGAAAAGTGAATTTTATCCATTGAAAAAAAGAGGAAAAGTTACTAAAATTATGTAATATCGTTTATATTGTTTAAGATTGTAGGTGTTAAAAATTACTTTTACTGCACGTAACATTCCAGTGACAAATTAAACATTTATTGTAATAAAAATATGACAATTAATTTATTTAAAGAAGTTTTAAAGAAAAAGAAAACATTCAACAAGAGAAAACCCTCTTTTAAAAATTTCGTATATCAGTTTACGTGATGCTGTTGAAGGAGTTGCATTAAAATTGGAATCATTTACTCAAACCACAAATGGGAGTAAAAGATCAAATATAACAGTTAAAAATGACAAATTACAAAGAAATATGTAAGCAATATGAATTTTACGTGACGGTAACAAAAAAACTTTAACTTCAAATTTTATAGCATGTTTTTAAGGGAAACCTTGAAATGATTAATAATAGCAATGTACTGGTAATGTACAGGAGATTATCGTGTTCAACAAAAACAAAAATTTTTCTTACATTTAAATTTCAATATTTTTTTTTTTTGGTAAAATTTATTAATGGTATAAAGATACTTGTTTTGTTACTTAAGATGGAAATTGTCACAAGTTCGACAGATAATGCAACTTTTTGTATAACACACAATTTCTATTAATATTTCGAAATAATTGTGGTTGCACTCTGTTACTACTTACATAAGTTGATTTTCTTGAAGAAAATGTGTTTCTTTACGTGTTTGAGGTTAATAAAAAAAAATTTTAATTTTCTTCAATTATTAATTGTAATTTTCGACGGATTTGATAATGCCAGTACAATTTAATTATATTTTAAACAAAAATTCATCAAAACAAAGCAGGCAGAATTGAACTCTAGTCATTTTAATTAATTCTGTACCATTACTGAAAATTGAAAAAACAATTTATAATTATAATTTAATTTCCATTTATTTACTGCACTTTTTCTAACCCATTGAAAAACTTTGCTTAAGCAGATTTTCATTCTGTATTTCACATTTTTAGTTACCTTTCAAGTCATTTTTTAAGCTAGAGTTCTCATTCTTCCATTACTTTTGAAAATCTGAAATAGTATATGAAAAGTTGATAATTTTTTTTTTATTAAAAATATAAAAAATTAGTTTTTGTATTTTTTTATCCGATTGTAAATCTATTGCATTAAAATTTCATTGCAATAAAGCAAAACCGTCTAAGTTGACTTCGAATAAAATCGATTAAAATTTGACAGAAACGTAAATAAATATTGACCGAAAATTTCCACAAACTCGAATGTAATTAAAGTCTATCAAATTTCTCCAAATATGATTTTATAATTTTCAAACTTGATTAACTTGAAACTCCAATCCTGACTTACGTTATGTAAAGCTGCCTTCTTTTTTTCTCTAAACTTTTTAAGAGTGTTTAATTATAAATTCATTATAAAATGTGCTAATTGATAATTAAAATACACGGCATTTTCAAATAATATTCCAAATAAAATTGAATTTAATTACAAATTCAACCAAAAAATACGCATATGCGCCTACATTTATGTACTCACAAATAAATTTAAACATTAATTACATTAAAATATTCACAATCTTTAATATTAAATATTTATTTTATTTATTTTATTTTCCTTATTTTTTAAATCTTAACTAAATTTAATTCATAAATTGAAGGCTAAACGGCTAATTTTAAGTATAAATTCATTAACAATGTTTTAGAAGAGCAAAAAAAACAAACCATCAGCGCATCATTAGTTGGTCCAATCAACCGTTTAATAATAACTAATAAAGAAGTCGAAAATAAAAAACAGAAAAAAACAATAGTTAAAAAATAAAAAGAAAAAAAAATACATTAAAGACCATCACCGCTTAAATATTAAAGTAAGAATGACTGTTTTCATTGATTTTCTATCAAATATAGGCACGTGGCATTGCAAAGCATTTATGTATGTACTTCTATGGCGTTCACATTAAAAAATTCATTAATATGACGTGAATATTGTACAAAAAAATTAAAATCTAATAAAAAGAATGTATGAAAAAAGCGAAAAAAAAAACAATTCCAATTAGAAGAATTAAAGATGATAAACGATCGGTCGAACGGAAGATCAGAACAACTTCAAATTAATAATAATAAAATTTTATCATTTATAATGTTCTGTATCACAAACAGAAGCTTTATTCTTTACATTATTTTACTGCAAATTTAATTCTAAATCTTTCGCCTTTTATAAAAAATTTAAAAAATTGAAAAAATAAAATTCTTATTGAAAACAAGTTCGAAAAGAATATCAGGTGTTCATTACAGCAACTTTTTTTTAATTTGATGGTATCAAATAATACCATCAATCGAAGAGAATTGATTTTAGTTACTTTAATAAATCTCTACTCCAATAAATATTTTGAGATCAATGAATAGATTTCCGAAATATAAATTAAATATTCGAATAAGTATATAGAAAATTCGAATTGCTAAAAATTATTGTTCTTTCTATAAAATTTTTATAAAAAAATTTAAAATTTTAGAATATAAGCAAATCCAGTGCAACATAAAAATCCTGCGGAACAATTTGGATTTCCCGTAATTTTACTACTAAATAATATCGATACGCAATAATTGAAATAGGTTTTTAGACAAATTGCTTTCAAAGTGAAAATTAACTGCCATATTGAGCAAATTGAATAATACGCTCATTAAACACAATTTTACTTTTCCACTTGAATGTTTGCATCTTGTATAGTTTTGAGATCTTGTATTTCTCGGCAACAATTTCATTTCGGGCCGAAACCCTATATATGAAAATTTCGTTTGACAATCCGAAAAATAAATTATAACAAAAGCTAGGATCAGAACATATTTTATGTGTCAATTCCAAAAAACCAAGAACTTTTGCTCATATCTTATATTTTTTGAAGAATTTAACTATTAAAAATAAACATTTTCCAATAAAATCTCGTGTTTACCGTTTATTTACGTCGTATTCAAGGGGTTATTAATAAACGGAAATATTCCTAACTTCAAAATTTCTATTGTATGTGTAATGGCTGAATTGTGTATTAAAAAATTAATAGTTGAATTCTTAGGTACTTGTAAAATTGTGTTAAATAAACCTGTGCGTATTAATCAAATATTTCATATTCTCAAATTTAAGTTGGACAAAATTAATTATTTTAGACTATAATTAATTATTTTCTTTATTATTAATAAAAATATTTTACTTTTATATTCAAAAGC